GAAACGTTGTGTGTACACTTGTCCACGATGCAGTCTAGGATATTGTAGCACTGATTGCTATAAATCAGAAGCTCATTCCGAATGCTCCGAGAGTTTTTATAAGCAGTGTGTAATAGATGAATTAAGATCTCAGGAAAGAGACGCAGAGGGTAGAAACGAAATGATTGAAATTCTTAAAAGGGTCCAAGAACAGGATTCAAAGAATTTGGAAGCATTGGAGAGTGATGAGGATGACGAGGAAGAAGTGTTTGATGAATTAGAAGAACAATTAGACTCAGATGATGAAGGAAATGTAAGACAAATGAGAACTTTTTAATGAAAGATAAAATCTTTTTTCTGTTATTACTCTTTTCATTGTTAATGTCTTTTAGGTGCCAGATTTAGAGAATAGACTACATAATGTAAATTTGGATAACGCAGACGAGGTATGGTCTGCATTAACTGATGCAGAAAGACAAGAATTCGAGGCTCTTATTAAAAACGGTGAAATTGAGAAAATTCTACCACAATGGGTTCCATGGTGGACCTACCATACTAAAAAGAAGTTGGTACAGGATTTGGATGAAGAGAATAATGAGGAAGCAGTGAAATTACCTCCTATAATAGACGTCCCAATATTTAACGAATTACAGGTAATTTTTAGAAATATCCTAAGCTAACTGAACTATTTGAAACCTTTCCGTGTTACAGAAAGCATCTCCGAATGTTCAATTCAATGTGAAAAATGTTATCTATGCATATGCATATATAGCAAATTATTATAATGGTGATTATTTAAACTGCTCAGTAGAAGCAACAGTTGTTTTTCTAGATCTTTGTGATAATATGAAATTGAATAAGGTTTACGAAAATTCTGAATCAGCAATAGCTTCTGTTGTTCACAAAGTCACCAATGTAAGTATGAATGAAGCAATTGAAAGACAATAAAGATAATTAATGAATATATTTACTGCTTGCAGTGCAATTGGTTGCCACAAGATGAACAAATTTTATCAGCTTTCAAGGAAGCTGGGAATACAATAATGCAGGGACCAGATGAGAAAAATAAATATCTTTATGCATCTGTTGCCTTTTCTCAGTTACACAGGCTGTTCTCAGCAGCAAAGGAGGAAGTATCAAAAAACAAGAATAAAATCGGTAATAAAGAATTCTCGGCAAAGTTCGCCCAGAGATACAATGCTGACAATATAAATTTGTCAAAGAAGATTCTTCTTCTACATTGTAAAAAGTTAGAGTATTACATATCGTGGGTTAAAAGTTGTAACATAAATATGTGTACATAGAAGTGGTTGATCTTAAGTTTGTACTATTTAGCCTTTTGTTCACACCGTTGCCGTAATTTCGCGTTATTTCAACAATATGGAAATGAAATGTAAGAGACAAACATACTCGAAGAGATTGTTTCTCCGATTTTATGCTTCTAACCATATTGAATTTTGTTTGGACAATTTTTAAATAAAAGCGAATGTTTAATATATACACTTACCAAACACCTTCCACAGCATTTTCTCTTGAATGATCCCCATGCACAGATATTAAATATTGATGTACAAACACTGTAGTTTTAATATATAAAAGAATTTATTTAATTCGCGCACTAGCACTTCACTACGAACGATACAAAATTCAAAGTGAACTTCGAGACATGGCATCCATTTTTAATCGAGAACGAAATCGAATAAATATATCGATAGTTCAAATCACTATTGATTTGAGACCCATTATTTCGTATAATTCAGATGTAAATGCGAACAAATTATATATTATTCTATTTCAAATGAAATTATTTTAGTTTCTTGTTATATTATATGCACAATTGCATGTTACGAACGAAGTTTTAATCATTAGAATTTGATTTCCTGAGTATTTTGCAAAGCCGACTTAACATTTAAACCGAAATGGAGTTCGAGAGATCGACAATTCGAACACGGGAAGACGAATCAGTCTGTCAGACAAGCAGACGATATTTACGGAAGCAAGTAGGCAAAATGGTGGCAGACGAGAAATTATTTTTCTCGAAAGCCGTCCAACACTTGGCCAGGTGTCTAGCAGCAATCAAGCCTACACCATGGGAGAAGGTGAGTTAATTCTTAATCATCTATTTTCAATTAATATTGTACGCACAGGAAAGTTGACACTTAGTAATAGGTTAATTTTAAGGATGTGTCAGCTGATGTCCTGATATCTCACCT